TACTCCTTTGCGGCAAATTTCAACAACTACCTTACGACTCTTTCGATCAAGTCAATGCTGTGATGTGGGCAGTAAAGGGCGATGGTAAGACTCGATTTATAATGGCTGTTATCGACAACTGACTGTGCAGCTCAGGTTGTCCACTACGGATGTTCAAATTATTTAATTTCAAATTATTTAATTTAAATAGTTAAATTTATTTGCGCATTTCCAGCACCCTTCTTTCCATGACCTTAATGATGGAACCCAGATCTCAATCTCCACTGCATTGTTGACCAGTGTCCGGTTTAAAAACGGGGTTGATAGCAGCGATATGGCAAGCACAGTATGTGTGATGTTTCTTTCCCACAGAGGGGTACTTTTTTGTTAACTTAAGAAGTAACAAAGACGAATGACCTAGACTAAACATGGGCGGATTATGAGTTAGGTGTTTAAGAATAGAGTGTATTTCAGAAGCAGTGCTTAGATCAATCACGTGATCACTCGAACATATAAGCTACACATTTCTGGAGTGGATATGATACGTATTTTTCACGACCACAACTGTCAGAAAATGCCTGGCGCGTGTCCAGTATCGCGACAATATTTCTTGTTCCATAGATTCTAATCAGATCGGAATCGTTCTTCCATTTACGACCCTTGTTTAATACTGTACAGAGTCTAAGAATTCTACTTAAGCTCCGTTTAGCATTTTAATGTTCTTGTTGCCTGCTACCACTATCTAAGCGTAGCAGAGCGTCAACAAACTTCTAGGACACTGGTGACCGTTATTAATGATTTGTAAAATTCTGCAAAGTTTATTAAATATTAGGCTATCTCTGCTGCACAGAAAAAGGCCCTATACTTAGCAAACTGATTTTTCACAATTAAATTTTTCCACGTTACGTACGGTGCTCGAATATATTTTCTACCCACAGACTTTTCCTAGCCAAGAACAGTTTTGAATATGATTCTACTTTGTTTTCGGCTCATGCTATCAAGCCGAGGAAGGTGATGGTCTCTGAATTCATCCCCAGAGATTTCTCAGATCCACCAGTACTTGTTCCTGGTTCGGAAGTACCACTGTACTTTGTAGATATAGCGTTGCTGGAAGATGACTAGAGCACTGCGAATTCGACTGTTTGCCAGGTGGTGATCTCTGTATCGGTTCGTGTTGTTCGTTTGTTCCATATGTGACACAGCTACTGAACTTCATCGATTCAGCCAATCACATCGGTTTATTTAGAGATCAATTTGGTAATCATTATCCAGTGCGGATTCAAGATACTTAAAATAATGCACATCGTTCATCGCAGTATCATCCCATGGTGTTCAGTCTGATGGCTGCAGTAGGTGCTCCCATAATTTTCGTTTCCTTAGAATTATCTTGTCTTCCCAACCTCGAAGCCGAGTTGCCTGCGCTTTTGGTGAATTTCAGCAGGCCATTTCCGCAGTCGCCTAGCTGCATGATGTCCTCAGTGGACTCAAGGCCCTTTAGAAATACGCCTGAGTGATTTCAATTGCGTCGCTGACCAACGGTCAGTCCGTCGATGTTATTTAAGATGACGCACTTTCGCACTATGTCGTTTACCATGACGTTGAATAACATGGAGAATGCATTTCCCCTCGATGGACTCCACCGGTAATATTGAACTGGTCTAACAATAACACTTCCGTTCGGACGGCCCACTTAATCACCTCCTACAGAACTTCTGTGAAGTGTAAAATGTGGACAAAACTGTGGACGCAGCGCTCATCAAAAACTCAAGAGGTTTCGCTATTGACCCACGAAGATGATCAGGAAACGCCTCATTACTCCTCTCGAAATTTTGCCTATCCTGAGTTTTACGAAGCCTTATCAATACGCGTTTTTTTTAGAATATTTGTATTGGTGACTTCAACACAATGCAAGTAACTGTTTCAGTGTGAAATAAGGCATGACTAATTAATGGAGACGAAGCAATTCATTATTATAAGCTTCAGAATCTCAAATAATTAAACCAGGACACGATCATTTTCTGAACTGCTGCAAAGTGTTCATATTTTCAGACCATATTTTTATTTTAGCGTAAGATAACTGCAAATTCTCAATAGTTTAAAGTCACAGAGAACCGGACGACCCTTTTGTAAAATACCAAGTTTAACTGCGTCTCGTTTACCCCGTTGCCTTCCATTTTATGATTTGTTGATAGTTGGTGATACAACGTTAGCAAACCGAAGCGGAATGTGCATAGAGTTGTTCAGCAAAAGCCGAACAGATCCTGCTAATGATGCGATAGAAATAAAGTGCGGATATGTAATTGGAATCGTTAGAAAACCAGGTGATCAAATTGTTCCAGACTTACGGGCGGATGTGCCTTTGGTCCATGTCATCGGCAAAATTGGTTTGTTTGTACAATCGATGTTTTTCCACATTTTAGCCTCGACCGGGAGGCGATGAAGCATGGGGTATGGAGTTAAGGAGTTAATGTTCGTTCGAGGATTAAATCGGCGCTAAGCAGGGGGCAAATGCGTTCGCATATTAAGCGTTCGCGGTGCCCGATAAAGATGATTTTGCTTTTAGTCATCGCCAGGTTAAGTAGAATCTATTTTCCTGATGAAAAGAACTTTCGGTTTTCGAATTCAGATCAGAAACAGCAGATGCAAAACGAGCAAAAACGTTTCTGGTGGTGGCACCATCAGTGCATGCACTAATTCCGAGAGGTTGGCAGCCTCATGGCTGTGCTGGCTAAGCAAAATCCGTGCCTTGATCGACCACTGTTGCTTGTTATTGTTCTTGTATACGAAATACTTGAAGGTCAGACGAGGCAAGGCTTTGATCAATTCCGTTGCCGTGTGACTCCACTGCCTCGATCATCACTCGCTTAATACTCAAGCCGCCGAAATCACGTGAAAAACGACACAACGAACTTGAACACAAGTACTTGGTATCGCTGGTCGACGGTGTCCCGTGCCACCAACGAAGAATACGATGGTTTACATGAGGCGTAATTGGACAGTGCTTCGCTGAATGGACAGACGGTGAAAGAAAATTCGGCAGATTTGGCAAAGCAGATCAAAAGCTAATAATAGCGTTCGCGTCGAGTGGCCGAGTTCGCCCCAGAGCACCGGGCGAAGGCGAAGTCGAGTGCACAGCACGCACGCATGATCGTTGGCTGAATGAGGAGCAACAGCAGGAGGAGGAGGAAGAGGAGGATACTGAGAAACTTCCGCTTCCGGACGTCTGCTTTGTTCCTACGACGAGACGCCTCATCGACGAACGATTAGGACAACTGGCCCGACGACCACCATCAGCACCAGCATGGGGACAACGACCACATCCACATCGTCCAGATATTATTGCCTTCGGGCATCAGCCATCTCCATTCCGCCTCGACGGTCCATTGATCGCATCTGCAAAGGTACTTTTTTACCGCTCGTTTCCGCAGATTAAGTCAGTGATATCCGACCGCCAGGTGTGTTTATTGCTCGACAGCCGCCATCAGCTGGATGCGTTGACTCAGCTCCAACATGCCTTGTCTTTCCGCTCCTCTGAGGTTTCTTCTGAAGACATTTTCAGCTCTGGCGTTAGCCGAATTCGCAGCTTTCCAAAAAGCCGAATTTGCTGGAAAGTTATCTTGAAAATTATCTCTTTTTCTCCTTGGTCTTTACACTCGTGGCTGCAGGTCCCCCTCCCTCATTCTTTCGAATATCACCGCAGTCAAAGCAAAACTCGCGTAACATAAAAATTGCTGTCATGCCATTCATAGCACGACCAGCGACTGCTTTAGAAACGTGCCTGAAGGACTGTAGTGCGAATTTTTGTTGTCACCCGCCTAATGACGTCGAAAACATTCTGAAGTAAGTGACGCAGGTAGTATAAATTTCTTCCGTCGTTTTAAGACATTAGTTGCACTGCTGTTTCTCGGGCCTCTTTCAGCTGGCAATCAACTATGTGGTTTTTTCCACGTTCCTACGAGTTTCGATATTTCGCGTGAATGGGTGGTTTCCTGTGAAGTCAGCATAAGGGAGAGGTGGGACAGTGTGTTAGAGTCGGTTTCGAATTTCGGAGGTGCGAGGTTTGATTCTGACGGAGAGAAAACCTTGTCTTCAACCACGAATTCTCTTGAGCAAGGAAAGTTCCACACCCTGGTTCCGACCGCAGCTGCTCAATCGGTACGGTGTTGAACTCAGAATAGAGAGGTCCCTAGTTAAAGCCTCTTTTGGGACTACTCATCTTTCTTCCTCCCGAGGTTGCTAAATGAGCACCGTTTCATAGGAGGAAACTGTATTTGTCACCGAATTATTGCTATAGCCTTAGAAAAAATACACAGTGATGTGTTCCTCGGTGATGGTACACAAATGCCAGGAGATAAATGCTGCACCATAAGTTTCATGGAAAGAATGGTACTACAGAAAGCCTATTAATTACATCGTGACGGATGGCGGACTCCAAACGGCTTCAAAATTTCCGTTTCCTTTCTTTCATTCATATAGTTTATGGTTTTGAGGTGATCCCGATGCTACGTTTGCAGCACTCTATCATACAAAGCTGGCGACCATTACAACGTAGAGATTCGTGTTTGCCTCTCGCGAATAAGCACTCATGTAGCTACCTTGGAAGTAAGAATAACAGTAAGCTTTTGATGTTAATTCAGCGCTTCACCGAATGGGCGATCTGCTCTGGGCGACCCTCTAGGAAATAACTTTATAATTCTCAACGTCGAGATTGACGCCGGCAGGAAGACCAAGATGACGTTAAACCTAAGACAACTTCAACAGATGTAACTTTATATGGTGGATGCCATACAAATAGCATACGATCTAAAAATATTGCGCAGTAGAAATACATAGCGCTATCTCTCATCCAAACCATTGCAGCGTTCGATATTCAGTTCAAAAAAGAAAAACAAGAGATATCATTCTCATTACATTACATATGGGCACCACATCGGTTTTTGGGGGAACAGTATTCATTACGAGGTGAAGAAACATTATAGGAAAGATATATTCGTACTTTCCAGATTCAGATCATAGAAAATGTCATGAATCACACTCTGGTCTTTAAGTTCTTTAGTATCTGTGGAAGATGACAAGTACGAAAAGGAGATGGTTATGTCAAGACTGATAAAAGTAATCTTTGCATTACTTGGTTAATGAGGGACAGGAACTGTAGCCGAAGCCTGGTTCCATCAAAACAGGCATTTGTCGGGTGTAAATGTTTCAGGTTTCAGGTGATTTCCAATCGTTGCTAGAAGGCTACAACGGCGTAATGACACTGGATCTAATTTGTATTTATGCTTATTCGATTCAACCGTCGAGAATAATGTCTGTTTTATTCCAGTTTGGGATGTTGCTTCAGCAATACTGTGGATACGTTTAGCCTCAGTGTCCCATGA